TCCTCCTCCTCCTCCTCCTCCTCCCCCTCCTTCTTCTTGTTTTCTCTTTTCGCTACAAGTATCCGACCTATGTCAGGATTTTGTTTAATTTCCTTTTGAAAACGTCCACAAAGCCTCTATCACTACAATACCAAAAGCTTGATGTTAGTTCCGTCACCATCACCACAAACAGCGACAGCAACACAATCATAGAAAGTAACACACCTCATCTTACTAGTATCTCTATCTTAACAGTGACGATTGTACAGAAAGAGGTTGACCAAGACAACCCCCAAAACAACAACAGCGATAAAACAACATCAACAACAAAAACAACAATGACTACAACAATGACAACAACAGCAACATTAAGCAACATGAAAGTAACCGAGCAACAGCATTGATAATATCAACAATCACTCCCACAGCTATAAAAGAAGCACAGTAAGATATCATCAACAACAATAACAATAAAGACATAACGACGGCAACAACACTAATTACTTACTACTTACACATGACAACAAAGTAAGAAACCATCACCATCATTATAATCAATAAAGAAAACTCTTACAACAAAAAAGTAAGAAGTCATCATCATCAACAACAACAACTACAACAACGACAAAGGCACGGATCACAATGGGCATCTTCAATCATAACAACAGCATCAACAGCAGCAACAAAATACCACATCCAAACCAACGAGCAGAAGACACTTTGGCAACAGCAACAGCAACGACAACCTGTGCATGACCCCATAACAACAACAACGGCGACTAAAACAATAATAACAAAAAAACAAACCCATCAGAAACTCAACTGACAACAGCAGAACAGAAACACGGTTAGAAAGAACAAGAAAGTAGTGGTATCTTACTAGAGGTAATTTGTCCTCCGGCCCCCACACACTGAGGCTCACTACAACACTGTCCTGGCTTCTTCACCAAAGAACATCCCTGAGGCAGGAAGTTGTAGGTTGGGCATCTGTAAAGAAGAGATGGTGTGACGTGAGTTTAACTTTTTTTTCAATCATCATCATTGCCTTTCTCACCCTGGATCAGGATATAGGCCACGAACAAACACTTTCTACCTTTCCCTATCCTGGTCTAGTCGCTTGATGTCACTCCACGTCTTCCCACTTTCAATCAATGCTCAACAGTTATTGGTTTAAGCTAAATCGTAGGTTGAGCATTTCAGAAAGACAGAATACAATGTCACGCAGCAGTCGGATTCTGGTTTTGCCAGTGTTATCATTCCTCTTTATGGCCTTAAGTTTGACTATTATCTTATTGTAAGTATTTTAAGCCCCCATCGACACAATTTAGGTCACTCAGCGATTGGGCCTATGACCCTGTATTTTTTTTTTACTAACCCAGACTGAGAGGGATACAATATCCCATCAGAAAGACCGAGATTCTAGATAAACATTCTCCCCACTTAGGAATCGAACTTGGATCTCCTGCGTGCGATAGCAAAACGTCAAACCGCTTCACGAAAGACGCCGGTCTAGCTAGTACTGTCATCGCTTGTGCTGCTTTTGAAAAAAAAGAATTTTACGCTGCATTCCTTTCAATGTTAGCAATGATATCCTTCATTAATGTACTTTAACTACTGCTATTCGTGGAGTTAAGTTCCTTACCTCCTGACCATGCATTATTATGTCTCATGCAGAGTTTTCCTTTTAATTAGTCATTTGCTTTCTTTTCTCCATGTTGACCTTCATATCAAATACTGAACATACATTATGTATGTTTTCCAGAGTGTTGACACAGCCCTTGACGCCCAATGATAAACAGCATGAACTTACAGACCACAGTAGGACTATCTAGGGCTAGCTGAGAGTGACCTTCACTGCCTTCAGAATGATGGTTATTTATTTACCTGTCAACTTTGGAATAATACCCAGCTATTTGCATGTAAACTTCGGAATGACGGAAAGCTATTTACCTGTAAACTTCGGAATGGTAGCAAGCTCCAGTGGCTAAGAAAGTAGTGAGTTAAGACTCAAGTAATGTCAAGCAACTGTCGGTGACACGGGGATCAGATGGGTGGTCAATGAGGTGTGTCCTTGAGCGAGACACAACAACCCAAGATCAAAATACAGGGCGCTGCACAGTGGCGACCGACAGTGGCATGGTTGTAAACTGTTATGTATTTGGGTAATATTATGTATTTATGTATGTATTTATGCATGTTTTTCTGTATGTACATATTTATAGTTATGTATTGATGTATGTATCATGTATGTTTGCCATTGTAAACCAAAGTGCCCTTCTGGGACGAATAAAAGTGTAATTTATTTATTTCATTTACTCTATTATTTTCCTGTCAACTTCGGAATGACAGATAGCTATGTACCTGTAAACGTAGGAATAATAGATATCTATTTACTTGTAAACTTCGTTATGATAGCTAGTTATTTACCTGTCAACACATTTGTAAAATCCAGTGACCGCGTTCTCACATGTGCAGTTGTACAGGCAGCCGTCTTGCCAGTCATCGCCTTGCTGGTAGAGCTTGTTCTTGTAGTAACAGCCAGCAGCTGAGCGACAGAGTGAGGTCAACGTGTGAGTTCACAAGAGCTCAAAGGTGATACGATAGTGTACACGTGCGTTTGTTTGTTTGTATGTGTGTGTGTGTGTGTGTGTGTGTGTGTGTGTGTGTGAGTGTGTGTGTGTGCGTGTGGGTGTGTTTGTGACAGAAAGGAAGAGAGAGAGAAAAATAGGAGCGAGAAGATGCAAGGCAGACAGCGACTGGGGGAGAGGAAAAGAGAAAAAAAAGTAAAATGGCAGAAAAAAAGAAACAAAAAGGACAAGGGTAATGATGATGATGATGATGATGATGATGATGATGATGATGATGATGATGATGATGATGATATATTGCAGAAGTTACCTCCCACTCCAGTGACAACTCCAGAGTTAGGGTCAATGGTGAATGATCCTTGGTTGAATCCAGTATTGCCGCCACTTGAGCCTCCAGCAGCGATAAGTTGTTCTGAAAATGAAAAAAAAAGAGATATAGCCAAATGATTATGGAGGCACACACTCGTTAGTGGTCTTGCGGATAGGCTGCAATCTCATTGCGGGTAGGGCTGGGCAATGAGTCGCTTTAGCAAAATCCGGATAATATGTTAGCGCACCTCTTCGGCAAATAGTATGCCCTGAACCGCTTCGGGAAATGAGTTAGAACCTCTTAAACAAACGGGTTAGAATCCCTTCAACAAATGGGTGCACCCACTTCGGCAAACAGGGGCCAGGAAAGAGAGTTAAGAGTCTGAATTCAGAAGATGTTTCATTGAGAATTATCCGGTTATCCTTACAGATTATCCGGATTTTGCCCACCTCTAATTGCGGGTTGGGGGATTTCAGGCTTAGTTCCGATGTTGTTTCCTTGGGAAAAGCACATATCACGAATTTTCCTCCCTTCACCCTAGTGGAAATTGGTGCCCGTAAATAAGCAGCAAAAGATTTTGTCAGCAAAACGGTTGCTTGCGCTGTATGCTTCCCAGGAATTTGAGATTGTTTCAGAATGCTGTACGGTTCGCTGGGGTAATAATATAATATATTACACAGCGGGAATTTGCGCTCCGCAAGTGCTTTTCATTCTTTATTATAATATCATTCTGTATGGATTTCAAGATTCAGCTCTCATCAGCTTTGGCAAGACACTATGTGGGATCCCATACTGTTAACACACACACACACACACACACACACAC